TGGTTTGTCTGTTTCTTTATTAAATTTTTACACTGCCCTTCACCCAATGATCTCAGGGTGGTTCACAGCATAAAAATACAGGATAAGACCAAAAAGTATATAATAAAAACAAGAACAAAAACAAAACAAGAAACCTACAAAAAAATCTGCTGAATCACCTCTGTCTTTACGTGACATTTCAGTTCCCTTGTTCACCTCTCAAATACATCAGAATAGCCCTATCCTGTGTTAGCATCAGTGCGGGGGGGGGGATTCTGCCAGGGCTCACGTATGATAGTTCAGGTAACTTCTAACTCTTAATCTTGGTATTTTCCACCAATCTTTGGCATTTGCATCTCACAGTTTGGAGGCAGATCTTGGAGTTTTCGCAAACATGTTTTTCTTCAGCCCTGCAGTTGCATGTGGAGCTGCATAAAGAGTTTAGGAACTTGCAGAGGTGGTACTACATCTCCATATAATTATCAAAATGATAGTGTGTGTTGTTTTTTTGCTTCCAAAGATCACATTTGAGTCCACTAAGCGTGATGTTATGGATCTGAGGCAGAAAGGTCTGGCAGATATATGCTTCCTGAGCCACCCAAAACTTGGGGGGGCTAAGATTTAGGACAGATGATAACTGCACCAGAATGAGGTTGGCTTGACTTCTCTCCACTTCACATGTGACCCCTCTGTAGGGTTCTGTTAGTAAGAAGAAAGTTACTGCATCTTGCAAGGACCACAACAAAAGACTTCTAATTCTTTGTAAGGTAGCAGTCATAAAGGAGGTGCTCGTTCCTGTGAGGAAAAAAGATGGTCCTCATTCTACTGCTTCTACTGCCTTATGGGGACTGTGGGAAACTGAAGACAAAATGCCTCTTGTCTTTGGAAAGGGATGAGATAGATTCACCTAATTATTTCAGGCCAGGAGACCACCTCATCAGTGGGGTCCTCTCTGCCACAAACGCTGTGTTTTATCCTCATATCTTTAGCCAATGTCCTTCCACCAGCTTTTATTGGTAAGACGTTTTGTGGGGATGGATATTAAATATTAAAATATTATTAAAATAAAATATTAAGCTACAGCGGTGTGTTAAACATTAAAAGCTTCTCTAAACAGGGCTGCCTTCAGATGTCTTCTAAAAGTCTAGAAGTTGTTCTTCTCTTTGGCATCTGGTGGGAGGGTGTTCCACAGGGCAGGTGCCACTACCAAGCAGGCCCTCTGCCTGGTTCCCTTTAACTTGGCTTCTTGGAGTGAGGGAACCGCCAGAAGGCCCTCAGCGCTGGACTTCAGTGTCCGGGCTGAACGATGGGGGTGGAGACGCTCTTTCAGGTATACTGTACCGAGGCAGTTTAGGGCTTAAACGTCAGCACCAACACTTTGAATATATTGAGTCCCACATCCTTCGCCCATTTTATCATAACGCAATTTACCTGGTCCTCTTTAGTGTCCCATTCCAAAAGCTTGTAAACGTACTGAGAACCAATGTAGATCTTTCAAGATTGGTGTTATGTGGTCTCAGCGGCCGCTCCCAGTCACCAGTCTAGCTGCCGCATTTTAGATTAGTTGTAGTTTCTGGGTCACCTTTAAAGGTAGTCCCACATAGAGCGCATTGCAGTAATCCAAGTGAGAGATAACTAGAGCGTGCACCACTCTGGCGAGACAGTCTGTGGGCAGGTAGGGTCTCAGCCTGCATACCAGGTGGAGCTGGTAGACAGCTGCCCTGGACACAGAATTGACCTGCGCCTTCACGGACATCTGTGAGTCCAAAATGACTCCCAGGCTGCGCACCTGGTCCTCCAGGGACACAGTTACCCCATTCAGGACCAGGGAGTCCTCCACACCTGCCTGCCTCCTGTCCCCCCAAAACAGTACTTCTGTCTTGTCAGGATTCAGCCTCAATCTGTTACCCGCCATCCGCCTCCAGACACTCCCACAGGAACTTCACTGCCTTCACTGGTTCTGATTTGAAAGAGAGGTAGAGCTGAATATTAGAGGTAGAACAGAAATATCACTTGGACAGTGCTGGCATGTATATCATTTCTTCCCCCCAGGAAAGGACCCACAAAGTACTGGCAGCTCCTTTCCTTCTTGTATGCCATTCAAGCGATCAACCAGAATCAAAAGCTGTTACCCAACATCACCCTGGGCTACAGCATCCATGAGAACTTTTTTGATGGAAGGTTGACCTATGATGCTTTGCTAGACATGTTGTCAATTGGGCAGCTGAACTTTCCAAACTACAGCTGTGGTAAAGAGACTAACTTACTGGCTGTTCTCGAAGGGTCCGACTCTCAAAACTCCATCCAGATTTCAAACGTGTTGGGCATCTATAAAATCCCACAGGTAGGAATGGAGAGAGGTATAATAGCATTATGATATCGGCTGTTTTATTTTCAACTACCCTCCTGTTTATCCCTATCATTGTTCCCACCAAAGGGTCCTTGCAATAGACCTTCCTAAAACCTTCCCAATCTCATGTTGGGCTTAGAAATATTTAGGCTTTGATCTGAAATCAAACAAGATACAAATCTTCCTTCTTTTCCCAGGTCACTTATGCTTTTGTCTCTCATGTTCTGAATGATAAGAGGCATTTCCCTTTTTTCTACCGGATGGTCCCCAAAGAAGAAGCCCTGTACTCAGGGATTGTCAAGCTGCTCCAGCACTTCCGATGGACGTTGATTGGCCTCCTTGCACCAGACACCGACAATGGAGAGAGGTTCCTGAAGAGCTTGACACCCATGCTCATCAAGAGCGGTGTCTGTGTTGTCATCTCACTAAGCATCCAACGACTGAATACAAATGGAGTATACATTCCTCGTCTTCCATTCCTCAAGTGGAGGCAAGTGCATGTATTTGTTTACTACGGGGAAATGAATTTTTTCTTAGATGGACTACTCTTTATACAACTGTTTTTTGACATAGTGATGAAATCCATTTTTGGGAAAATCTTCATCACAACAGTTTTGTGGGATGTCGCCCTGGAGCTGATGTATAATGAGATATCTTTCCAATACATCCATGGTATATTTTCCTTCTTCACTGAGACAAGTAAAGGGGCAAAATACGGTGATTTTCTACCCTTTTTCTTTGGTATTAAGAAGTTTTGGGAGGATGCTTTTAATTGTTTCTATTTAAAGCATGCATTCTCAGTGAAAGGCCAGACAAGATGCAGAGAGAGAGGGAAACTGGAGAGGCTTCCCCAAGATGATCTGGAAAGAATCCTCTCTCTAGACAGCTACAGGATCTACAACACTCTGCAAGCCGTGGCTCGTGCCTTAAATGCTGCATATTCATCTAGATCTAAGCAGAGGGGAACTGAGAGAATGGGACTTCAAAGGCTACAGCCATGGCAGGTATTTTCTTTCCCTTCATAGACATCTCAACTGAGCATGACAATCGATTGTAGTGTTGCAGATATTGAATATTGTGCAGTTTGAAATGATTGGAAGCATAAGAACTGGAAGCATTCATTTCCTTTTGGAAATGAATTATTGTCCAGGCGCATAGAAATATTATTCACTCTTTACTCACAAACTATTTATAACAGAATGAGAACATCATTCTGTCCAGCACAGGCTCGGGATCTCTCTCCCTCTCTTTCTCTTTCTCTTTCTCTTTCTCTTTCTCTCTCTCTCTCTCTCTCTCTCTCTCTCTCTTACCTTCAGGAGAGCTTCCTTTCCATATTGACTCTATTGAGTTTTGGAGCCAAAGACAAAAAGGCAACTCCCTTCAAAAAGGAGATATTGCAATCCAATACCTTCATTACATGATCTAAGGTTACAACACTCACATGTTAGCTAGCAGAGAACAGCAACCAGTTAGGTAATCTTAATCTCAGCAAGAGCCCAGAGCCCTTTAGGGGGAAAAACTACTATGGAAAAAACCCAAAGTTTGTAAAACACATTACCCATTTTCCATTTTAAACCTTCCTTAATACATATACATTTTTCATTTCTGTTTGCTATTCTTATTCTTGCCTCATTGCACAGCCCCCAAGCAACTGCTCCCATCATGTGCCCAATTCTCCTTTCCCCGCAAGTTGGAATTAATTTTGGCAGGGGAGATGACATTGATCAGGCTGTCTCTAGTCTCTATTCCTTCGAAACCCGCTTGACTCTGCTCTGGCTCTCTGCTCCCTCCACCAAGCTCCTGACTTTCCCTGCTGAAGCCCATATTGGAGATTTCATTCAGTTTGCCTTGAAAGGAAAAACGAACCTCATTTCTGAAAGAATCCAAGAGGGCAGCATCCTTCAGAAAACATGCTTACTAGGAGAAAATGACACAGAAATGCTGAAGAATTCTGATGAGTTTCTATTATTATTATTTTTAAAATGCTTCAGAGATGTGGAGAACTGAATTTAAGATTGGGGTTTGTGTGTGAGAGAGAAAACAGTATGAACCAAAAGTGGCAAGATCCCTCCATTACTATTTGAGTCTGCAACCAGCCCTAAGCAAAGGGGAAGTGGATTGTCAGTATGCTTCCAACATTATTATTATTATTATTATTATTATTATTATTATTATTATATAATTTTAATTAAATTTTCAATTGAACAATTCCAAATAAACATTTTACAAACTCTAAAATATCCCATGACTTCCCTTCTTCTCTTTCCATGGTCCATTTTACAGCTTATACACCCTGTATATTTTGCTATAACCATTCAAATCAGTTTTCTACTTTTACATCCATTAAACATTATTTACGTGGTTGAATTTATCTTAATGCTGCCACTATTTTCAGCTGTATACAGTTATTTTCCATATATTCAATAAATGCTTTCCATTCTTCTTTCAATGTATGTTCTTCTTGCTCTCTTATTCTGCATGTTAAATTTGGAAGTTCTGCATATTCTGTCCACTTAAGCTGCCAATCCTCTTTAGCTGGGACCTCGCTCACTTTCCATTTCTGGGCCAGCAAAACAGGGGTCTATGCTTCCCTTTATTCTAAATGCTCTCATCTTTGCTTCTGTTCCAGCTCCACCCTTTCCTAGGAAACACCCAGTTCTATAATTCTTCCATGGACAGAGTGTATTTGGATGAGAACGGGGAGCTGGCAGCCGACTTGGACATTGTGAACTGGGTGGTGTTCCCCAATAAATCCGTCCTCAGAGTGAAGTTTGGGAGTATTGACAGACAGGGATCCCCAGACCTGAAGTGCACCATCGACCAGGAGGCCATTGTGTGGCCCAAGTGGCTCAATCAGGTGACGGGGAGTGGGAATGATGCCTGTCATTTTGCTGTCTTTTCTGTGAGCTCTAATAAGTGCTCCCTGTTCTGTGGGCTGCTGCCCTCACTTGCCTGTCAACTCCAGCACTGGGCTGTTGTTCCAGATAGTTCCTACAGCTCCTCTGCTCAGCTGGGTGCCAAAGGAGGCTTCCTGCTAAACTGTGTGTCTGGGGAAAGGGGGGTTCCTTGCTTTTCGGTTGTTACATGAATTTCTATCAGTAGTGAATGGCCCATATACACAACTTTATTTAATGGAGGTCCTTTGTTTTTTTTCTGAATTTAATCATGAATCATTCATGTAATGGACAGTGATGGGAAATGCTGAGTTTCAAGCTATAGTCTAGATGCTACAGCAGATACTATGTCTCAAAGAACAATTCTCATTGACGCTCTTCGTCTTTGTGCCTAGACCCTTCCTACTTCCAGGTGTGTGGAAAGCTGTCGCCCTGGATCCGTCAAGGTGATTCAGGAAGGGAAGCCTCTTTGCTGTTATGAATGTCTTCCCTGTGCAGAAGGGACCATCTCCACTCAGGAAGGTGGGCGACTCCAAGGGAAAGGCTGGCCTTGGGGAAGAGAGAAGCGGTCAGTCAGGAATCTCTCAAAACCATTTCTGGGCAGGATCAGTCTGGTATGCTTCATGTGTGGGAGAGAACTGGGTGGTTCAAATCATCATCATCATCAATCTCTTTTTATGATTATAGTTTATGATATTGTTCTAAAATGTATCATCATCATCAACAACATCATATATATATAAATATGATCAAATGTGAAGGAGGGAGGTCTAAACCACAAAGCCTCTTCGTCTTGCTGATCGGCAGGGCAGCGGTTTGAAACTACGCGACGGGCTGAGGTCCCGTTTCTCTCTGAGCTTCTTCCATCCTAGCAGTTCGAAAGCACACCAGTGCAAGTAGATGGATAGGTGTCACTGCAGCGGGAAGGTAAAAAATGTTTCCATGCCCTCTGGCATTCGTCATGGTGTCCCTTTGCACCAGAAGCGGTTTAGTCATGCTGGGCACATGACCTAGAAAGCTGTCTGTGGAAAAACACCAGCTCCCTCGGCCTGAAGCGAGATGAACGCTGCACCCCATAGTTGCCTTTGACTAGACTTAACTGTCCCAGGGTCCTTAAGAAGGGAGATTGTTATGGACCTACGGTAGATATTAGACTTCTGCACAGATCCCTGATCCTCCTTTTGGCCCTAGTATAGGGGGATCCAAGCAGCCCAACCTGCCAGAGGCCAAGCTGGGGATCTCTAGCCCTGGAATCTGTTCCAAATTTCTTCGGGGTAGAGCTAATGTTTAGAAAAACCTAATTAAATACCTGTAGTGATCTGTGGCTGCCCCAGACTGACTTGGTCTACAACTGAATCTCTCCCAAGAGGCTGGATATTGCTCAGGGCTTGGCTGAATCCAGAGTAGTAGACATTACTCTCTCTCTCTTTTGCAGATGCAGACCATTGCAAAAAATGCCCAGAAAATCAGCATCCAAACATGAACCGAGATCAATGTGTGTTCAAGCATATCACCTTCCTAGCCTACGAAGAATCTCTGGGGGTTGTCCTACTTTCCCTTGCCCTACTGGGGTCCTTAGCCACAAGCTTTGTTTTAGGAATCTTTATTAAATACAAAGAAAGTCCCATAGTCAAAGCCAACAACCGGGACCTCTCCTACATCCTCCTGGTCTCCCTCCTGCTTTCCTTTTTGTCCTCCTTCCTGTTCATTGGGAGGCCAAGGAAAGGGACCTGCCTTCTCCAACAAACAGCCTTCAGCATCATCTTCTCTGTTGCTGTTTCTTCTGTATTGGCAAAAACCATCACTGTGGTTCTGGCCTTCCTGGCCACCAAGCCAGGGAACTCAGTGAGGAGATGGCTGGGGAAGAGTCTGGCCAACTCCATTGTCATTTCCTGTTCTTGTGTCCAAGTTGTCATCTGCATGATCTGGCTGGGGATCTCGCCACCATTCCCAGACTCTGACATGCACTCCCAGCCTGGGGAGATCATCCTGCAATGCAACGAAGGGTCTGTGGCCATGTTCTATGGTGCCCTTGGCTACATGGGCTTCTTGGCTGCCATCTGCTTCACGGTGGCTTTCCTAGCCAGGAAGCTGCCTGGGGCCTTCAATGAAGCCAAGCTGATCACCTTCAGCATGCTGGTCTTCTGCAGTGTTTGGGTGTCCTTTGTGCCCACCTACCTGAGCACCAAAGGGAAATACATGGTAGCCGTTCAGGTTTTCTCCATCTTGGCCTCCAGTGCTGGGCTCCTGGGCTGCATCTTCATTCCCAAATGCTACATTGTTTTGTTGAGACCTGATCTGAACACAAAGGAGCACCTGACAGCAAAAACTAAAAATAGCATCTGATTCTAAAAATATTATTTTTCAAGAAGGTAGGGAAGTGAGATTCTTGAAAAATAATATTTCAATTTAAAACATCGTTACCCTCATTTGATCATGTAGAACCAACCAACTTAATGGAAGTAGTTATGAAATTTGGCTGAAAATTTGTTAATACTTTGGAAGATATAGATCACATAGATCACAGGGAATTCACATTACCAAATTTTTGTAATTATTCTTGGAATGGAACAAGGATGTCCACTGTCACTCCTGTTATTTTTCCAAGTGAATCTCCAGCCCCCGGCTCTCTCACGTCCTCATTCGTCATCACCTCCTCTACGGGTGCTGCTAAGTACCCTCTGTCTTTGAGCTCTTTGCTCTCCCACTTTTAAGGCTTGCCGGGTTCGGGGAGATGGTGGGTCTAGAATGGTTTCTAATGACGTGTCAGCCAGGTGTTGCTCTGGCTCTCCCATGATTTCCCAACTTTCCCCCTCATCTTCCTCTGAGCTGTGACTTCCCTCAAACCCCTGTTGTAAATCTATACTGTCTTCCTCTTCCTCCTCCCTGGGAGGGTCAGGATGGAGAGGTGGTCTCCCCCATTCCTCCCTAGCTCTTGGTCATCTTGGTTAGCCTCCACCCCATGCCTGTCAACTCATCAATATCTTCCTTAATTTATGGTGCCCAGAACTGGACACAGTATTCCAGGTGTGGTCTGACCAAGGCAGAATAGAGTGGGACTATTACTTCCCTTGATCTGGAGACTATACTTCTGTTGAAGCAGACCAGGATTTCAACATTATTTTTATTAGAGTTAAAATTTGTTCTCTTTCCCCCCTAATTGTATAAAAATCAATGCTGTATTTTAATATGTTGTGAGCCATGCAGGGACCTTACAGTGAGGGCTGGTAATCAATATTATTATTTAATATGTTAAAATGTTGCTGCATCACACTGTTGACTCATGTTAAGCTTCTGGTGTAATAAGCCACTTGTCCTATATTTAGCCTCTGCTTATTCTCTTCAGCCTCAGCAAGGTGTTGTTAACATTTTGCTCCTTCAGACCATATACACAGGGATCTAGGGAGCTTTGTGTTCAGGACTCTTGTGTTTCTAGGACCCATAGATGGCTGTGGGGACATGCAACAGACCACGCTTATAGAGAGCATGAAACCCACAAAAATGTTTAGCTCCATTGGGCCCTTAACTTTAGAAAAGGGGGGAGTTTCAGGGAGCATGTGGAAGATTGGGGGAAATCAAAACCCATTTCTCCTGATCAGAACTGATGAGTTGATGACCACTGTAAGCAGATGAAAACATTAGCAGGATTGCAATAACACTTGTATTGTAGCAATTGCTATGGAGAAGACGGAGTAAAATATGGACTATTGAACAGTATGCAGTTGAAAACCACTGGAGGGGAAGGTGAGAAGTCCAAAGATTTGGAGAGATCTTTAAATATAGATATGTATGGTTGTAATGTTATAATCTTATACTTGTAAAATCAAATAAAAACTATTAAAAGAAAAGAATTGATGAGCTGGTTGTGTTGAGTCCTCACAGCCCATCCCAAGCAAAACATTCAGGTTCATTGGGCCCTTAATCCAAAATGGGGGCTGAAGGGGCCACATAGGGCAGGGGGACTTGAAACCCATTCCTTGTGACCAAGAACAAGAGGAAATTCACATAGGGGGTCCAAGCAACCCACCCTGAAAACAATATTAGCTTCATCCCTCTCTTAAACCAAAATAGGCTTTCAGGGGCCACCTGGAAGGTTGGGGCGCTCTAACACATCCCTTGGGATTGCAGGGGGATGAGATGGTTGTGCACAACCTGCCACCCTCAAAAATATGTTTGTGGTGACATTTAAAACTAGCCCGTTTGGGGTGTCCTAAAAGCACGAGGGAAAGAAGGAAGAGCACAGCCACTTTTCATTTGTGATGTAGGCTTTTTGCTCTATCCCTCTCACCGTCTGCAGCTGTTTAGGGAATTGACAAGACAGGGGATATTTTATGCACCAGACTTTTCAGACTCAGTGCGAGAAATTATGAATCTCTGGAGAAATCCCTGGAGAAATCCCTGGGAAAAATAAGAATATTTATGAGTCGGGGAAGCATCGCCCTGGCAACCTTCTGGAGTCTCTCTGTGGCTTGAAGAGCAGATGCAGAGCTGGAGAAAACATGTTTGCAAGAACACAGAGAAGCAGCTGCCCTGTTTTGACATGGGCCAGCATAGGGTGGAAAGGTCAGCTTGGATTTTAAATATATTCTTTTATATTGCAGTCATCCACAACACAACTTAAGTGCAGTCATACCTTATGTTATGTCCGCTTCATGTTACATTCTTTCAGGTTACGTCCTGCGGCGACATAGAAGTACCGGAGAGGGTTACTTCTGGGTTTCGCCGCTTGTTCATGCGCAGACACGATGCTGCGGGTTGCGCTCTTTTCATGTTGCGAATGGGCCTCCGGAACGGATCCTGTTTGCAACCAGAGGTACCACTGTACAGGCAACTCTCCATTTGCACAGGGGTTGTGTTCTGCGTCATTGCACAGCAGCGGTCGTGCAAAAGCCCATGTCGCCCCCCCCCCCTCTTCTGGGGCCAAAAACAATGTGTGGGTTGCACACGCACGTCAATCTATCGCTCGCGCAATGGTTCTCACCTGTATAAGAAAAAATGCTTCCTAAGGTAAGTTAATACCTGCTTATCTCCCATACAGCCGTAACAAAAAATGCATCTCTAACAGCAGCAGCTTGGAAGGAAAAGGGGTGCGGTAATCAATGACGAAGTATTTAAAGTACATCTTTTAAAAAACAGTGTGCAAGTAATCATCTTTTCTCTCTACACGGATGTCCCTATGATGAGATCTCTACCTGAACAATCTTCCACATTTTCTACGCTAACATCCTTCTGAAGGTTTCTTCCTCTCTTGTAGGATTTCTGTTTATCACTGAAGCTTTTTTCCATCCTTCCTGGGCTTAGTTTGTTCAGGGAATCATAGAGTTGGAAGGGCCAGGAGAGCAATCTAGTCCAAACCCCTGCAATGGGAGAATCTTAACTCATTCATGACAGGTGGCTGTCCAACACTCCAAGGAAGGAGAGTCCACAATCTTCTGAGGTGAGGGAGTCCGTTCCACTGTCAAACAGCTCTTACTTGTCGGAAAGTTCTTCCTGACATTTACTCAGAATCTCCTTCCTTGGAACTTGAATCCATTGAATCTGATCCTACCCTCCAGAGCAAGAAAAAACAAGCTTGCTCCATCTCCCATGGGACAGACTTTTAGATATTTAAGTTGCTCTATCACATCTCCTCCCAGTTTCCTCTTTTCCAGGCTACACATACCCAACTCCTTCAACCGTTCCTGAGACTTGTTTCCAGACCCTTGACCACTATTAACTGCTGGAGTCATGTTGTGTGGGGGAGAGACACCGCATCCTGACATTTTCATCAAGGTTCCTCCTGAGTAAGCTTAGTAGCCCTGGAATAAGAGAAGAGGTCCTCTTGTGGATCAGGAATGGAAGTTGCAGGAAGCAGAAAATAGTATTAAGTGGATAGTTCCTCCAAATGGGGGGCTGTGGTGCCAGATGTTCTTGACCAAAAGCTCGCAAGAACAATCTGGCCACATCGTTTTGCACCCACAAGATTCTGCACCAGACCCAAGGGCAGCCCCAGAAAGAGTGCATTGCAGTAGTCCAGCTCCACGTTTTCCAGTGCTCCAGGGGTCAGGCTATTCCTGTTCACAAACAGCCCTAGAGGACACGTGGGTCTCTAGTGACAAAGGCGTATCCAAGAGTACCCCCAAACTATGCATTTGCTACCTAGGCTTAGGATCCAAGGCCATTTCTGTCCTCATTCTGAAGCAAAGTTCTTAACACGAGGTAATATTTCTGGGTTAGCGGCTCCTCCTGGGCTCCTGCCTTGGGGGGGGGAGGAGAGAGCGGGGCTCCGCTTGTGCTCGGCTTGCCAAGGGTTAAAAGGCACAGAGCTGGGTTTCTAGAGAGGACAGGAAGTGGAGGCGTGGGGGGGGCAGGTCCTCCTGAGCAAAAGCCCCTCCCTCGCCATCCCCGCCTGCAAGCGGAGGGGCTGCTTCCGTCTCCCTTTCTTTCTTGCAAGAGCTGCCTGGGGGTGAGTCTGGTGCAATGGGGAGAAGGGGCTGCGGGGGAGGATGCCTGGGGGGCTGGTCAGATCGTGCATGGGGGGCGCCAAGTCGGGGGGGGGGCTCTGCCCCGCTCTTCTTGCTTGGCCCCGGGGGGGAGGGGGGAGGGGGTCTTGGAGGGGGGAGCCTGCAGAGAGAGCCCTGGAGTCTCGATCAAGAGGTGAGGAGGAGGAGGAGGAGGAGGAGGAAGGGTCTTCTTCCTCTTGGCCAGCATCGCTACTGTGTCTTTTCTCCTGGCAGATCAAGGAGACCAGGAGACAGCAGAAACCGCTACATTTGTAGCAGGGCGATTGGAGCGAGATCTCTTATGACTGGATCGCTTTTCTAACGTAGCTCAGCTTTTTTCTTTCTTTAATCAGTTTGGTCGTTTATACGGATGTCAGCCTCCAGGACGTACTTTGTATACCAAACTATATAGCAGACTATATCTGGTCTAGGGAACTATGCCCCACAAGTAACCCAGAGATGCATTTTCAATAAAAGCACACATTCTGCTCATGTAAAAACACCAGGCAGGTTTGGAGTACATTGTCAGGAGCAGGGCTAGGCAAACTGAGGCCCGGGGGCTGGATGCGGCCCAATCGCCTTCTAAATCCGGCCTGCGGATGGTCCAGGAATCAGCCTGGTTTTTCCATGAGTAGAATACAGTGGTACTTCGGGTGAAGTACTAAATTCGTTCCGGAGGTCCGTTCTTAACCTGAAACTGTTCTTAACCTGAGGAACCACATTAGCTAATAATAATAATGTGGCCTCCCTCTGGTGCCGTGCCGCCAGAGCACAATTTCTGTTCTCATCCTAAAGCAAAGTTCTTAACCCGAGGTACTATTTCTGGGTTAGCGGAGTCTGTAACCTGAAGCATATGTAACCTGAAGCGTATGTAACCCGAGGTACCACTGTATGTCCTTTTATTTAAAATGCATCTCTAGGTTATTTGTGGGGCATAGGGATTTGTTCCTTTTTCTCTCTCTTCAAAATATAGTCCGGCTCACCACATGGTCTGAGGGACGGTGGACTGACCCACGGCTGAAAAAGGTTGCTGACCCCTGGTCTATAGCTCTCCTTCTGGAGCCAGAGAGGATAGTCACTTTCAAGGGCACCATTTAAGATGT